AAAAAATCAACCATGAATGGCCTAAGGGCACATTTTATTTATCGGTCAATTCCCTTCGTTGGTACGTACCAAATATTAAGCGATGATTCTGATTCTTCTGATGTGCCAAACTTGGGCAACCAGGGTGATAACAATCCATCCATTAAGCAACATTGCCATTTTTATATGCTTTGTTTTTGTTATATTTCAGTTTCCAATGGTTTTTAAAAACAAATCATGATGAAACTGAGCTGTCATTCTTTTATTTTAAACTTGATATTAAAAGATGGGCTTGTGGAATTTGCTAGCAGTGGAAGAAACTGCGGTACAATTTCTGCAGGAAAGGAGAGCTGTGGTACAAAATATTCGGAGAGAATGATGAGGAAACGCATATGGTAAATAGCCAGAATTCTCTGATATTTTTTTAAGTGAAAACAGATCGCTCTGTATATGGGGAGAAGTACATGGAAATTGGTACTCTGTACATGGGAAATTACCGAGAGATTGGGTGAAGCATGTAAATTTTTTTATTACAATTTGTATTTTAAATTGCTAAAGTATATTTTCTTATATGCTGATAATGTCTGCCAACGTATGATAAATATCAATAGTTTGGAAAAATTTGTGAAAGCCACCTGCTTGCATTTGATAAGTAACTTTTACCTTTTCATTTGTAAAAAATCGCCAGATTGCAAACTGGTTGCATCAATATGTAAGTATCAAAAATTGAATCAATTTGGCTATTTTCAAAATCAAATCACATATGCTGATATGTTATGTCAAATGAATTGCTTTATATTCGTGTAGGTTCTAAACATTCTAAAGATTTCTCTCTGCATTGGTATCATAATCCCTCCAAAAAGTATTGTTAGGCAGGCATATCAGCTTTTCATAAAAAAGGATTGCATCTCTTTCAATTATGTTTCTTACTGGAGGGTTTTGAGTTAAACACTGCATTGCTAGAATAGGAGTAGTTCTTACAGTGCCCATAATAATATGGAGAGCTCAGTTTTGGACAGTTTCAAGTGTTTGGATAGTACTAGTAGCAGCACAGACCAGAACTTCATTACAGTAACTGAAGATTGGCTAGATGAAAAGCATGAGAGCGGTATTCGAAGGGCAGCTTGAGTTTCTCAGTTGCAACTTCAATTTGCAATCAGCCACAGGAACTGCCGACTTTTAACAATTTTTCCTTATACATAATCACCATGTGTTCAACTCAACTTGGAATCAAGAATACAACCTAAATACTTCATGTTTTCTACTCTTTGAATTGCCATACCATGGAATTTAAGGTTAGGTACAAAAGAATGTCTGTTTAGGGAGAAAAGCTGGCAGTTGGTTTTGGATAAGACATGACACCAAAAACTGAGTTGTTCAAGGGCGTTATTAAGTGTAGTGTTAAGCCTGTCTTTCGTGTTCTTTGGCTCGCTCGCCCACATTGTCAGGTCATCAGCAAACAGAGCAGTTTTTATTCTGGTAATGCTTTCCAATGGAATGGTCAGAGTGTTGGTATAAATATTAAACAGTATAGGGCTTAAATCAGTGCCTTGAGGAAGTCCAAATTCCATTTCTTTAAATATGGATAAAGAGTTTCTAAATTTCGCTGAACAAAACCGCTGACCAAGGAAATCATGTAGCCAGTGCAACGTATTGCCACCGATACCTGTGGAAATCAGCTTATAAATTAACTTAGGATGCCAGACCTTATCATATGCTGACGGGAAGTCAACAAAGGTCGCCAAAGTAGATCTGCGACTGTCAAGATCATCCTTAATAATTTGGCTATGGAAGGGCACCTGCTGGGCAGTGAAATGAAAACGTCTGAAGCCCGCATGGGAGTTACAGTTTTCACCGTGGTGCTAGAGAAACCAGGTCAATCTTACGACAATCATCCGCTCCATAATTTTTGCCAAAATATTCATAAGGGCTCTAAGTCTAAATCTATCGAATACGTCAGAAGGTTTGCCCTGCTTATGTATTGGGGCAATAATAGATTTCTTCCAAATTGCTGGTACATTAGAGTTCCAGCTTCTGTTGATCAGCATTAAAAGCACTAAATGACCATTAGATCCTAGCTTCTTAATAAATTCTGGGTAGAGACAGTCTGGGCAAGTGGTCTTTTCGTTTTTAAGGTATTTAACAGAGTCATCGAGTTCAAATTTGGTAAAATCAGCACTAAACACCAACTGATGTTGTCCAAGACCAGTTAACAGCTTTGTGAATATTGCTTTTCAACATACTTTTTTGAGTTTTCCTTGAATCTTGACTCAGTCTTTGTGATTTAGAATAAAATGTGATAATTCTTCCAAATTGCTGGTACATTAGAGTTCCAGCTTCTGTTGATCAGCATTAAAAGCACTAAATGACCATTAGATCCTAGCTTCTTAATAAATTCTGGGTAGAGACAGTCTGGACAAGTGGTCTTTTTGTTTTTAAGGTATTTAACAGAGTCATCGAGTTCAAATTTGGTAAAATCAGCACTAAACACCAACTGATGTTGTCCAAGACCAGTTAACAGCTTTGTGAATATTGCTTTTCAACATACTTTTTTGAGTTTTCCTTGAATCTTGACTCAGTCTTTGTGATTTAGAATAAAATGTGATAAAAACATTTGCAGTATCTCTGTCACTAGTTGAAATTCCATGACGATCCTTTAAGGAGGCCCTAGTAATTTGGGAAAGGCCAGCCCTTAAGTTGTTAACATATTTAAAAACTTTCTTAGAATCAGATTTATAATTCATAGTGCTGACAAAAGAATTAAAACTTTTCTGCTTTGCCTAATAAATTTCTTTTTGAAGGGAAGGAACACATTTCCTCCAGTATTGTACTTCCTCGGCCTTCTTTGACTTCTTTGACAGCAGAAATACGAGCCTTGTTTCACTGATCTCTGAGCCTGGAGATGTAGCGACAAGAATGGTTTGTACTTGCGAGGTTTTCCTCTGGGAACCCACTTTTTAGCAACTTTGTGGATTGTCTCACAGAACCTCTTAAACGAAGTATCAATACTTCCAATATGAAATATATTATTATCTTCAAAACCCTGTTCCAAATCTGCAATAAATGCATTCCAGTTGGCCTTTTGTAAAGTTCCATGTGCGTTGTAGTATACTATATTTGGCATTTCTGTTTATAGAAGTATTTTCCTTGATTTTTGTAATGATCGCTGTGCATCCAGAGCTGGGATTGTAAATTACATTTCTTATGGCGTGCTAGATCATCCGATACCATAGTTAAGTCAGTATTTGTAAATGTTACATTGTAATGGAGTTATTATAGAAGATTTAAGGAGATTGAGTTGAGTAGATCTTTTTTCACTCTACTTGCACTATTGTAGTCAGCATAGCTCTGTCTAGTGCTATGAGCACTGAAATCACCCATTAACACTGTTTTCTGGAGAAAGAGAGTGTCAAAATTTAATTTTGTGTTACCAGGAAGCTGTAGTACATAAAAATTGTAAAATGGACATAATTTTTCCAAACTTCAGTGCAAATCAACTCAGTGCCAATGCCAGAGTCTAAGTCACTTATAATTGTGAAAGATGTAAGAGATTTCTTTAGTCCAACAAGAATACCACTTGCAACTAATCTTGATTTAGGTATTATATATAAAGAGTATCCAGGGAAATTGTGGAATTTTAAGGATCCCAAAGCCAGATTAGCTTCAACAATGGGAAACAGATTAACATTGTCCTTATCTAGAACAATTAGGAGTTGAGTCCTTTTTTCATGTCACTAGCATTCCACTGAAGCAGTCTCAAAATTGTACACGTCTTGCAAAAGTTCTCAGTAAAAAGTCCAGAGACACTAGGAAGGACACAAAGCCGTAGCAGATTTAGTGCTAACCAAGGATACGCCACGTGGAGGCTACCCACATTACACCCTATAATAAATAATTAATATATTCTTGCTTTAACTTCTGCAGTGTGCTAGCAAGATAAAATTTAGTGAAATGACATGTCTTTAGTTCCCAATTTCATGATACATCACCAATAGTGTATATCAGATTGTAGCTATACATTAAGTTTTGCTAGAATCAGATACTTCTCGAAATTTGTAGTATGGCTCTAAGTGCAGGAAATATGAAAACTTATAGTAAAGAAAGTGACTGAGAAGTTGCTTGAAAACTGACAAATTTCAGATGACAATTTCGTGGTAATTTTCGACTCGGGCAATGGAACTTCGTAATTGAACAAGAAATTATGTGAAGTAACTTCAACATCTTACATTGAGAGAATTGTTTAAAGCAAGCAAATAAATATTAATCTTTTTGTGCAAGTTCTGATTTAAGATTATAAATGCTACATTGTTTTATATATTGACCATGAGATCAAAAATGCTTCATTGCTACATAACTGTCTCATATTTTTAATTTGGTACTTACGTGTTATTGCAACCAGCTTAGTAGAAATCATAAATCATCAAACTCTGGCAACAGTACACATAACTATTCTTCAGGCAAATGTGCTGATAACAATCCTTCAGTCAAGTAATCTTGTCTTTTTTTTTTTTTTTTTTTTTTTTTTTTTGTGTGTGTGTGTGCTTTTTGTTGTATTCTAAGTTTTGATAGTTTTATAAGCAAATTGTGATATTTTTTGCCTTCAACTTGATTTTAAAATATAAGCTTGTGGAATTTACCAGCAATGGATGAAACTGCAGTAAAAGTTAGGAGCAGAGAGTTTTGCCTAAAAAAAGTCTCAAACAGCAAAGCGATGCATTTGGTAGATAGCCAGTATTGCTGAGATCTGTGATGCCAGGTCTCTGAATTTTTTTTTTTTTTTTTTTTTTATATATATATATATTTTTTTAAACAAAAACAGATCAATGTGTACTTGGGAGAGGGGGAAAAAAGAAAAAAATGTAAAAATTTGGTAAGAATGTGTTTTATTTTTTTAATATGTCACATAATCTTTGTTTGATATTTAACTTTAGCATTTTAAATTGCTAAAGTTAATTTTTTTCCATATGTTGATAATTTCTGTTGATTCACGATAAATATCAATAGCTTGGAAATCTTTCTAGAAAAATTTGTGAAAACCACCATCTTCTGCCAGTTTCCTTTTCATCTGTAAAAATTCACCATATTGCACCAAGGTGTGGTATAATACGTAAGTACCTTTAATTTTATAATTTCTACATGTCTGTCTCATGATCTAAAATCTGGAAAGTTCCAGAATCGTCAAAGTTCTTACAAGTCCAGATCTAAGATTTTGTTTTATATATATGTATAGAGGGTGATTCAAAACTTATTGTTCAGATTTGAGGGGTAGGAGGGTATAGTGATGCATTTCTTATCAAAAAATAGCTCTGACATACATCACTTCATATTTTCGTGATTTATCAACTTTCTTAAGAAACGGAAATTCCAATGTTTCTAGGAACTCTAGGAAGAAACTGAGTACCTTCTTAATAATTAACAATTAAAAAACTAAATAAACTAAACATTACTTATAGAATTAAAAGTTCTAAAATTTAACGAGAATTTACGGTATAATCTCTTATTGTAGAAACATGACATGTGGTTTAAAATGCACTGCAATCTATCGAAATGAAGTACCATTCACAAACATTTAGAAAATATATTCCAAAAACATTCAATTCATGGAAGATGTCAGGAAATCGGTTTTACATAGGAAAGTATGTACGCGAGGGTGCTGTGTTTACCCAACCAGTGTACAGCTCACCTGACAACTCCTGCTGTCATCAGTGTATGAAGCTAACTTAATAGTGATAAGATGAATTGTTTTATGCATCAAGAGCTAGCAGATATGCATCTCGCATATGGGGCTACTGGCAAAAGTAGACATTGAGCTAGGCAAGTTTATGAAGACTGATAGTGCAACAGAAGAATACCGCAGTGTCAAATGTTTTCACGTGTGCATTGCAGTCTGTGCGACTGTGATTTACTGCGTAGCAGCATGCAGCATGCGGGGAGAAGACAACTGATGTGTACTGTCAACATGGCAGAACAATTCCTAAAGTCTATCGAAGATAATCCAAATACCAGCTCATGAACTATGGCTCAGCATTTTGGAGTTTGTCCGTCAGCAGTGTGGTGGCTACTGCATGAGGAATGAGTGCATCCTTACCATCTGCAAAGAGTGCAGTTACTGCATCCTAACGATTGTCCAAAGCATGTGGAATTTGCAAAATAGTTTATGTAAAAAGGTGCCGTGGACTTTAGTTTTCCAACTTCGGTGTTTTTTACAGATGAAACTTCATTCTCTTCTGAAGGTGTGTTCAGTACACACAATTCTCATGTGTGTCCTTATGAAAACCACATCGTACGAGAAGTCATAGGGCTCAACATCATTTTGCCATAAATGTGTGGGCTGGAATTATTGGTGACTGTTGAGACCTTACTTGTTACCTCCCCAAGTGGATGGCCGGAAATACATAATCTTTCTCAAGACAGTGTTACCAACTTTTACCAATTACCAGTGTTACCAACTAGCAAGGGCTCCAGCCCATAGTACAATTATTGTTCATGATTACCTGAACCAACCATTTGGAGCTCGATGGATTGTCAGAAACAGGCCAATCACTTGGCCACCCAGGTCACCTGGTTTATCGTGTATGGATTTCTTTTTGTGGGAGGCGATGAAATACCATGCCTACGAGATCTCTGTCGACACTGGTATGGTCCTTGTTGCATGAATAGCGGTTGCTACAGGAATTGTTCGTGATATGCCAGGTGTTTTTGAAAATGTTTGCAGGTCAATGCAATGGTGATGTGAATCTGGTGTTTGCGTAAATGGTTGTAGTTTTGATCACCTACTGTGAACCTGTACTTTACCTTGCTGAAATGAAGGTCACATTCGTTACCACTTAACTGTACTGTTTCCTTCTGTTACCTTACTTGCCCCCCCCCCTTTTTTTTTTTTTTTTTCATGTAAATGCATTTGCTGACATACTTTCCTATGTGAAATCAGTTTCCTGAACTGTTCCCTACCTCCCCACCAAATCAGAACAATAAATTTTTCGAATCACCCTGTAGATTTACGTACATACAGTACAAAGCCCGAGATAAAAAATTATCAGGAATTCGATGATTTTGGAAATTTCTGGATTTAAGATTATCACTTTAAATCTAGTAAGGTAACATATAGGCATGAGAACACTGGGCTTAGTATTTAGGTCAGATAGCAAAATGCCCACCTCCCACAAAATTGGCGTCAAAGCACACACAACTGGTGTGGCAGCATTGGGCATCAGAATTTAGGATAGCAAAAATTTAAAGGAGCTTAAAGTAGCATAAATTAGGATGGAAAAATGTTTAGAATTTAGGAGAGGTGCTAGGCTATAGAATTTAAGAAAGTACCAAGCAGTTATAGTTTAAGACCCATAGAGATTGCACTGATCAGGATTGACTGAATGTGTAGCACCGATCGTGTTCTGTCCGTACAACCACTCAAGGGCTGAAAGTTGATCCTAGCCAACATTGATACAACATCAGTTGATGCATTGTTATTGACCATGGTGGGACTCCCTAGTCAGCAGGTGTTTGAAAGTGAAAGGTAAGAATCTCAGTTATTCCATAGAAAATATACATTAACAGCACAAGTGCTACCTTTTTGCTGTGCTGTGTACACAAGTGCTATCCTCCATTCCTAGACTCCAGGGAAAATTTTTATTATTTTAAGTTTTTTGAGGAGGCTGGATGTATGAACATTCTAGTTTGGATGTTGGATTTTCTTCCGTGTAATGTGAATACAAATCTCTTTTCTCATAGATCCTTTGTGGAGATATTTGTCTCAATAAGCAGATATCTTTCATGTGCTTTATCATAATCAGCTAATCAATCAAACTGTTGCAGTTTTAATCTGTGTGATAGCTTAATTTCTTGATCTGTGTGATAATTCAACCATTTACATTTTCAAAAAGTTTAAAGATTTGTATCTGGATCTAAGAATCTCTCCTGAGTGATTAAAATTAAAAGTGATACACCAAAAGGCAGTGTCTGATTAAAAGTGCAATTTTTTTCAGACCATATGTTGGTGGGATATACTTTGTCTCATCCCAAATTTTTGCTATTCCATAATTTTCCCAAGTTCTTCTTTTTAACAATATACAGTTGTGGCCAAAATTGTGGACATTTTTAGAAATTTTTATGTTTTTGAAGTTTGTATGCTTATAGAAAACGTTATGTTTCACAAAATGCAAACTTGTATATATCATTTCAAAGAGAATTTATTACTGAATTCAATACAAAACACAAAATTCAATTATTTGCAATACAGAAAAAGTTAAACGATAATAGTTATCGATATACATTAGATAGTGATGATTGCAATGAGTTATCAGTACTTAGTAGGGTACCCTTTATTTTTGATTACAGCATCTCCACGTGTCATTGAGCTGACAAGAGTTTTAAGCTCTTCTTTTATTATTACATGATGCCAGGAAACAATTATAGCCTCAATTAGTTCCCTTTTATTTGATGGGGGCCTCATTCGGACAAGAGTTTTCAAAAGGTGCCACAAATTTTCGATACGATTGAGGTCAGGACTGTTTCCTGGTCATGACAACAATTTAATGCTCTTTGTACGAAATCACTCTTTCGATATTTTGGCCATGTGGCAAGGAGCAGAATCCTGCTGAAAAATAAACGAAGCATTGTTGGGAAAGAGATCTCTGATGGAAGGTAGAAGTTTTGGTTCTAGAGTAGTGTCAATGTATTTTCTGGCATTCAGTGTCCCATCGATGACATGAAGGTGACCAATACTATCTGCTGACATGCATAACCAAATCATAACACTAAAGTCCCGTTTCCACTGCTGCGTATGCGTTGCGGTGCGTATGCGTTTCTCCAATCAGCGAGCGAATTCACTTTGATTGACATCTGCAATCCGGTCGGTGTGCGGTGACGGATGACATACGGATGGAGTTCAACAATGTTCAACTTCTATCCATATGTCTGCGGTTGCGTTGGGGTCACGTGGTGAAAAAGGAGCAATCAGGTGCAGTGACTAAAAATTAATGGCGGCAGAAGTAGCAATGAACGCTCGCTAATAGGGAAAGAATGTTTTGCTAAAAAATACTTATTTCTGAATTAACATTATAGCGAGAAATCTGTGTGCTGAAAATGACAGCAATCAGCTGAATTTAGTTTAAAATGATAAGAAAAACAAGATAACTGCAACTACACTACTTGTTCGTTCAAGAAAATCAGCGGCAAAAATTATAATTCCAAGTCCATGAAATAGCAAAATTTGTTCTGATAATCATTTTTTAGTTCTGCATACTTATTTAGCTTTAATGAAAATGAATGTCTGACTATATCAAACTGCTATAGCAAATTAGATATGATTAAAAGATTTGCTATTTTTTCTTTTGAAACAGGTAAAAACTAAAAACGTTAATTATAAATTAAATTTGATAGCCTTTTAAATACTCCAGTTCATTGAAGAGTATGTTAAATTTGTATTTCCCTTTATAAATATATCTTTTTGAATAACATATATTTGTAAGCACATGAAATATATTTTTAGCAGCCCGTTTAACTTCAATCGGAACGCCACTTTAAAAGATAATGATTTTTCCAAAAAATGTACTAGAAGCTGAAGAACAAACTCTGGTGAATTTTTCAGACAATAGCAAAGTGAAATAGGACCAAAAAACTTAAGTTTTAAGAATTGATTTACTTGATGATGTATATAACCCAAAATATGCATGTTACGTGTAATCCTAGCTTAGTGGTAAAGCTGATGGTAACGATGTCCACCTTTTTGGAGTCGTGAGTTCGAATCCCATACGCTTTTTGCACCATGTCTGAAACTTTCTTACCTTTTTATTCCAATTTGATCTATATTCGTGTTTTATAATTTATTTCTATTATTATATGCATTAAATATATTGTTTTATTTATGCTCTTATTTATTTAAATTTTTTCCGCAAAAAAGTTTGAAAATTATATAATACTAATTTAAAGCATATCCTGTACATATATATTTGAATTTAACAAACATTCTCTATTCGTAAAAAGCAAATTTAAAGTTAATTAAATTTAAATGAAATTTAATGCAAACAAAGAAATGATTAATTATTGCTGTGCAAGTATCAAAATCCATGAATAAATATATAATTCCAAAAATTTATTAATCCTTAAAAAATTTATAAAAATGCATAAGTGAATAATGGGATAGATTATTAATCCTAAAAAAATTATAAAAATGCATAAGTGAATAATAGGATAGATTATTAATCCTAAAAAAATTATAAAAATGCGTAAGTGAATAATAGGATAGTTTTATTAATCCTAAAAAATTTATAAAAATGCATAAATGAATAATAATATAGATTTAATCCTAAAAAACTTATAAAAATGCATAAGTGAATAATAGGATAAATAAATTTTTGGAATTATATATTTATTCATGGATTTTGATACTTGCACTTAATTTACATATGCTCTCAGAATTTAAATGAAATTGTATATTAGTTCGCAGCAATAATTAATCCTTTATTTGTTTGCATTAAATTTCATTTAAATTTAATTAACTTTTAATTTTTACGAATAGAAAATGTTTGTTAAATTCAAATTTTATTCCTTGCAGCAATGGCACAAGAGAATTATTTAAATTTAATTTATTTTGAAACCCTGCAGATATATATATATATATTCGTTTCACTTTTATGTGAATGTATATACATATGCTCAGACTTTGGGATGTTTACGACTCTAAACTTTCATTCCAATTAACATGAGACAGTATTAATGCCCTAAACATTTTTTTAACAAAAAATTACTATAATAATTGCTTTTAAATTCAGTCCTCTCCTGCAGAAGCGCAGGAATTAATTAATTAAATATTTCCATTTTCTTTACCTAATGTGTGTATATATAAAGAGAAAAATCTTATTTTTATAACTTCTTGTATAAAAAGAGATATGAATTAAAAATGTTTCAATTAAAAATAATATTTTATGGATTATGTATAAAATATAACTGCCAACTGCCCATAGTGCATTTTAAAACAAACGAGATTTCTAATAAATTATCCAGCTATGACCCTGAAGTCAGCGGTATACAAGCATAGCAAATTTTGCTTAAATATTGTGAACCTTTCCTTACAGTTGCTCTGTACTTTTAAAGTACCAACTATTTTTTAATCCCTTTAACTTTTTTATTTTATGTTATTTATTTGTTTACTTTTTCACTAACAGTACATTTTAGTTTTAATAATATGTATATTATTTCATAATATTTAAGGCTTCTAGAAACACAATTTTTTTTTTAAAAATTTATTTCAGCTTCTATGGAATTCGTGATGTTCATAATATGCATTATAACCTTACTTATCTAAAATTCCATATCAAATCCAAAACAAAAAATACTCGCTTAAGCGAGAAAAATTCAGATGTTCAGCGTCGTAACTCGCGAACTGCTTGCGCCAAAATATTACAGTGACACCTAGCGGCGGAAAATGAAAATATTTTACGCATACGCAGCAGTGGAAACGCTTGTACGGATGCCGTAGGCGTGTCTTCAATTGACGCAACGCGTTCGTACGCAGTAGTGGAAACGAGCCTTAACTGGGTTCTTCACAGTTGCTTGAATGCAGTCAGGATGTAGCTCTTCTCCTGTTCTACGTCTTACATATTTTCGCCCATCACTACCAAATAACGATATCTTAGTTTCATCACTCCATATAACTTGTGACCACTGATCATCTGTCCAATTAACGTGTTTCTTTGCCCACTGTAGTCTTTTTTTTGGTTGCTGAAAATTAAGATAAGGCTTTTTTAGTGGAATTCCACCTCTCAGTCCAACATCTGTTAATCTTCTCCTGATTGTTCTTGAACTGACAGAAACACCAGCATCATTCAGATCCTTCTGATGGCTACTGATGACATTTTTCTATCTTGGAAACATAGTCTTTTTATTCTTCTGTCATCAATAGATGTGGTGCACCTTTTTAGGCCTTTTCCTTCTTTGTTTTTTATTGAATTTGTCTCCTGATATCGTAAACAAAACATTCAGACTCCAGATATAGTCACTGAACCACCCACCTGTCTTGCAATTTCAGCATAGGAAAGACCACTTTCTCGTAACACAATAATATTACATCTCTTTCTAGGTGTCCAATCTACTCTTTTATTTGATGTCATTGTTTCTTGACTAAATATAAAAAATTTTTACAAAAATTCCTACTTGTAATTGCAGTGTAGAAGATACAGGTAATCCTTCTACAGAACAAAGCAAAATAATGAATTGTTTCAAGTGTAAACATGATGTCAGCTTCTACTGGCAGTTACTAACATTTGATTGGTTCTTAGAACAAGAGCAGTGATTGGCCAGGAAAGCTAGACATTACAAACCACTTCATAACTGTGTTTTTTATTTATATTAAAGTACATATAACTTTTTTGTATTGCAAATAATTGAATTTTGTATTGAATTCAGTAATAAATTCTCTTTAAAATGATATATACAAGTTTGCATTTTGCGAAACGTAACATTTTCTATAAGCATACCAAGTTCAAAAACATAAAAATTTCCAAAAGTGTCCACAATTTTGGCCACCACTGTAGTATTATATCTTACTTTTATTAAGATATTACTTGACTTTTTGTTAAACAGGACTTGACTAAAGCTCATCTTGCCTACAAATATAATAGTCTATTAATCCAAGAAACACATTATCCCAGAAATAGTTTGAATGACAGATGGAAACCTGTCGTATCTGCAATTCTTTACAACACCAGGGAAAAAATTCCATTTGATTTCATGCAGTTTAACCTATTAGAATATATATATTCAATTGCAAAAATAAAATAACTTGACATTTTTTAAAGGAAAGATTGTAATTAAAATTTGCATAGTATAAAAGTTTAAGAAAATTTAAATATGCAGTTAGCCAAAGAACATAAAATTCTGAATATCCAATTAATTACTAATATATTTTACACGTTAGAATGAATTGCATATAGTTCAGTAACTTGAAACAAACATTATAAAGTTAATTATAGTTTGGATTTACTTTAAAATTATGCCATCATGCAGATTGAAAACTTCTCAGTTTTTAAGATTTCAAGAGCTATGAAATTTCCTATCCAATCTGGTGTTTGTAGCCCAGTCTAGACTCTAGACATAAGATTCTTTCAGAACCCAATGTGCCCCATTCCCTTGTTTCTATGAGAGAAAAATAGTGTGAGGAAAGTTTTATGACTTCTTAAAATCTGAAAACTAGGTGGTAATCAGGCTTTGGATTTGAATGAGGAGCTCAGTTATTGTTTTCATTTCATGGATTTAGTATCCTAACAAAACAGAAATTATTGTCATTTAAGGCTTCATTTGAAAGTTTATCCCATGAAATAAATGCACAGTCATGATCTCTAATATATATATTTTTTTCTTTTTTAAGTAAGTACATTAGTAACCATATAGCATTAATGTGCAACAGAATAGTATCATAATTGATTTATTCTGCTATTTTGTGTTATTATCTTGAACAACTCATTTTAAGTATAAAGTCTTTTTTATATAATAATAATTTCTGGCGGAATTCATTCTTCCGTATATACAAGCTGAGCATTTACTGCAAATTTGTTTCTTCTGAAATTTAGAGGTAAACTTACATATAAGTTCAAAATGATTTACAAGTAATTCAATCAAAAAAAATGTTATAGGTAAAAAAATTGAAAGAATAGCATTTTTATATTATTTAAATCTGATGTACATTAGTAATTTTTTTCCAAGAAATTTTCTAGTAATTCTTTCTCTGCTAAAGGCAATGCCAGATGAAAGTCATTGGAGAATCTTACTTTCAGAATGTTGTCATATTTTCAATTCTGCTTATAGCATTGGTCAACAAAAGTGATAACAGTTTAAAACTAGCAGAATATGCAGTACTTTTTCATTGGAGCATTTTTTACTATGCAACAGAAAAGAACTGCTGTATTTTACGCGTAAAATTTACAGTATAACCAAGTAGAAAAAAAATCTTTTGATTGTTTAAGAATATTTTAACACAAATGAGAATAAGCACCAAAGTAAAATTTACTATGTTGTTGCCACAGTGTCAAATGATGCATATGTTTAAAAGCTGGAAGAATTGAGAAGTGCTCAGCAAAAGCCTGAGTATCAATTTTCCATTGTGTAGCTACAAATAGTATTCACATTTGATTAACCTCGTAAAAGTTTTAAATGAGTTAATTTATATAACTGCCCCCGAAAAATTTTTAGTAAACTATTATAGATATTGAGATCCGTATGTCAACAAAAAAGTTCTCACAAATGGTACATACTGTGTGTGTCAAGGATAGCTCTGCATGCTTTACTGTAATTAAATAACCTAATACCTTAACATGTAATGCTCTCATATTTAATTAGAATATTTATATTAGAAATTGGTATTTCAGGCATGGACATCTTTGATTGCAATAGTTCCATATCCGAAAGTAATGCAGATCTCAGTTCTGTTTTAATCTCTGCAGCAGATATGAGGACAGGAATGCTAGACGATACTTTGTGGTAAGCATGTTTTTAATGTTCAGGAATGCTAAAAATATATGTTTCTAGCTGTGTTGTCTGGCTCTGCTCAGGTAACTATACAAGACTCCTATGATCTTTAAAAGCCCTTAATTTTTTTAAAAAAGAATTTTTGGTTCATTCCTTCCCTAAATGGTGCGCTCTAGCCATTTATAGCCATTAGCCACTGCTAAGGCCAAAAGTGATTTTCATTTCATTATGGAGGCAAGTAATAGGGGGCCACCATTGCCTTCTATTAAGGGACAGACAAATTAAATCCATGCATTCTCTGGATTTGAACATAGGCTCTTCAGTTTGGCAGTCAGAGTCGTTCCGTCTGAGCAGCTGTTGGTCTTAATTTCATCCAAAATTTGCAAATGGTCCTTAATGTTGGGTCAGCTGACATTTCCATCCCCTTTCTGTGACTGTTATTTATAATGTAAATTAACATTTCAGATAAATGTAGAAAATCCACATGACTTGTAACAAAGCCAGTTGGAGGTTAGCATTGTAAAACATGAGGAACAATCAGCCACCTTAGAATGGAATTTCAGGGTGTCTGATTGGTTTTTTACTCAAGATTTCAGAATAGAATAATTTTGTACTGAAAAATGGTTCTTGAACTTGAACCTTACAAACACGCTTTTAACCTACTGTGATGAAAACATGACATTTAGAAAAATAAGGGTCGCATTTCCACACAATATTATTGGTGAAGTCAGAATTTTTTTAAGGATATGAACAAAAGGAGGAGGAAAAAAAGTAAAGCATGTTCTGAAAAAAATCTAGGGGTATTAGAACAAACTAAATTTAACTAAATCTAGAGAAAGCCACAAATTTATGTGAAGAGTTGCCTTTGTTTCAGAGCCACTGGGAACAGTGAAGACCATCTAGAACATTTCTTTGGAGAAGCCAACCAAATAATAATAAAAAAAATGTTGATAACTCTGATTTGCTATTGAGTTAATTTTTCTGTCGGACTGCACATTTTCATGATTTTTTTATATATTTATTGAAATTGCTCTAGATTTTAAATCTTACATGCAGAATTACTTTTTTTATATAAATCTGCAAGTAACAGTTTTTAATTTGCTTTTTAATGTGCACTATTTTTCAAAATGACTAAAATTTGTCACTCTTTAGAGATTTGTATTTAAAGTGCAGAAGTTCAAATCACCATTTATATTCAGTCCCTTTATTTTACCAAAAACAATCTTTTTCCTTTTTTTTGTCATATGAATTCATTGCTGAGTTTGCCAATTTTAAAATCAGTTTGCATACAATAATTTTGATTTGGTGATTTGTGAATTTCATGATAATTTTTTATGTGTAAAAAAGTTGTTATGATACTGTTAAAATAACAATTGTATTTTTAAATTTTTGAGAAAAATATTACTAAAGTAAAATATTTTTAGACCCATGTATTGTATTATGCCTCGATCTTTCGTTTACTACACAGTCTGGAAATATCTTAATTCTGAAATTTAAGCAAGATAATTATAATTTGAATAAGATAATAAACAGATTTCTTGAATTAATTTTTAATTAAAGCAAAAATGCTATTGTAATTATGTAAAACTGAATTTCATTTATCTAATTTTTATGATAACCTGTGTAATTTTATCAAAATAGTCAGATATGTTTTAGCTGTCTGTGTAAAATCCCTTTTTCTTTTTTTCTAAATTGTTTTAAAAAATCTGATTTTTACTCTCATTGTGAGTAACTTTATTGGCTAAAAGTGTGTGTGGGGGGGACCATAACAAAATGAAAAATGTATTACTGGTGTTAATACAGAAAAACTGTTTTGCAGTTAGATTGTGATGAGTTTCTCATATTTACTAGAGGATTTTTGAAAAAGCAATGAAAACTAAGTTATTTTAATTTTCTTCAGTAGTACTTCAGTATTATTTTATGGCCTTCTTTATTTAAATTTTACCAAGAACTTTTATGTTTAATGGACTGGGACAAAGTGGCCACCTTACTCAGAGCTGTTCTCATGTTTGGCGGATTAAAGTAATGTGGTTTGGATTGCCGATCATTCCGCCATGTTTTGCCAATAGCTCTAAGTAGGGTTGCTATTTTAGCGCATAAGGCCCATGATGCCATTTACATAATGGGGAGGGGGCATAATAATAAGAAAATATCTTTTCTATTTTTGCTTCCAGATGCCTTTCTCTTGATATGGCCGTGTTTCCTTTACTTTCCATTTTTTTTTATGATTGTTCCTTATTCAAAATTATAGAAAACTGCAAAAAGGAATTTCTCTTTTAATAAAGATATTGAAAATCTACAATTTAAAAGATATAGCTTTTACATCTGTATGCATATTATTTCATAAAGTTTTCTGGAGTTAATTTGAACACTGAAATTACTAAATAAGTAAGCTTGGCAACTTACACGCTTCTATATACATGCAGTTGTTCAGAACAACAAAATTTTAAATTAAATCTGAGAATTCAAAAATGAAAAGAAACGTGGGTACTTTTCCGTTTTGCCGGCACAAATGATAAAGTCGCCAATAATGGTACAGCTGATGCCAAACGAAATATCCTTGCTGGTAATCTTTTATGCTTCATTTTCAAAACAAGTAGCAGCCATTTCTTATCAGATAGATTATTTCTTTCAATAGTGGCATACAATTACATAGAATTTTTACCAGATAGTTCAATTTTATGTTTTTAGTTCAGTTGCGGTAATTGAGTCAATTAGGATGCAATCGCAACACTCACCCGAAGGCAAAAATATAGAAAAGGCAAAGTCAAGGGTTAAACTAAAATCCTAATGAGAATGCACTAGCGAAGTAAAGCACTGTAGTTTTACCTAATTTCTGAGTAAGTTATTTGTACGAATTGAAATACTTCTCGCATTTAAACTTGTATTCCAAATTAAGATTTAACTTGAAATTAATGTAGATAATTACTGAGAAAACTTAGACTTTTGTAACGTAGTTTACGTGAGGTAGATCACTTGGGGGTCACATAATATGAACCGGTGAATCAAGATGTTGAACCGTGAAAGCATAGTAAATTATTAAATGAATGTCTTTTTACAAATTTTTTGTCTTTATTTATTGGTATTTTACAAAATTTTAAACACTTTTAAAATGTATATGCCTTCAAAATAAAAATTCTTAGAATTAACATTTGTTAACGCTTTTTTTGTGTGTATGTTGTTGGCAATAAAGTCTGCTTGGCGAGATTTGCGCCGGTGAAACGGAAAAGTGCCGAAACGTTATTAAAGAAAAAATTGATTATATGAAGCAAAAGGAAATATGCTCTTCAAATGGATTTTGATGATAGTAACAAATTAGCAGATAATTTTAGAAAATGGATAAGAAACTAGCAAGTGATTTGTTTATTGGATTTAATGAACTTGGTGAGTTTTTTTTTAAAAAGTGTCGCCAAAATTCCCAATAAGTAACTTTTACAGAGTTGAATAATGACTAATATCATCATGATGCTTCTATAAGAAATTGCTAAGTTGCATCAAGATGTTTGTGTTAATATGTAAGTTCCATATTTTTACAATAATAACTTATTGTATCCTTTTAATTTGCAGTGATGATGAGGCACTGTCAGAAAAAGACATTACTAGTGATTTAGCTAGTCTAGATAATTTAGAAATTCTACATACTTGCAGTGACAATGATTTTTCAAGCACTAATGTCATGGATTGTTTGTCAAATATAAATCATTCACCTGAAACATTTGATATTCCTTCCATTGATAATGATGATTCAGGTACTATGCTTTGAAGTATTTCTTCTTAAACATTAAAGCAAGCTGTATGTTTTAAAGTCTGTTTTTTATATAAACACTTTCCTGTATAATTTCAAATTTAATTTCATGCATTGTTTATATGCTAATCTTTATTGTATTTCAGATTTTAAATTTAAAACTGTGTGTAGGACTTTGAAGTAAAAAATATTAATAATGAAAAATATTTTGTTTTGTATTTACTAAAAAATAAGCATTCTTATCATTCAAATGAACTATTTTGTTATAATAAGTTCTGTTGTTTCATATAGTAAGAGTTAATAACGGAGAAATTTACCATAACCTATGAAATATTTACACCAGGATTTTTTAATAATTTTTTATTAAATTTTCTGTTTTGCATTTTAATTAGTATCATTTATGATACATAATTTTCTTTGTCAGAGTGAAATATGAAATATAATTTTATATGATGATTAATTTGAACAAATAGAAACATTGCTGGTGCCATTTATTCTGTAAGTCAAGTCTGAAAGATTTTTGAAATGATTAAAATGGTGTTTTTTAAACTTTTTATTTAAAATTCTTTTAGTATACTGAACATACTGCCGTTGCATTAGTTTTTAGATGGATATGAAATTTGCATTAGTATGTTTATTTCATATAGATCTTTCTGTTTACCTCTCTTTGATTTCTTCATGTTACCTAGTTTTTAGAGTCAAATTTTTTGATTAAAATACAGTAAAACCTTGAGATAAGAGTATAATTTGTTCCAGCATTGAGCTCATATAGCGAATTTCTCGTATATAGAAACAAACTTCCCCATTGAAAATAATGGAAATCCAATTAATCCGTTTTGCACCTCCAAAAATATCAACATAAAAATTAATTTTTCTAATAAATAACACTGGTAAATAATATAACCATAGTTTTATGTTTATGATAGCTTGCGACAAATGATAATTTCCGACACCGACGTTTTAACTGCTTCTCGTTCATCCACACCAACAACAGCTTCTAGGAGTTTTGGACAGTGCTTGAAAGTAACGGCTACATCACGTTTCTTAATTTCTTCCTTCTTCTTCAGAATAGTACAGATTGTCGATGCCGAAAAGGCATAAGTCTTTGCCAAGTCCCTCTTACTTATATTTATCTATGATTTCTTTCTTAATTTCAATGGCCATGGCTTCCTTATTTTTCTTTGCAGCACTATCTGAGGCAACAATCTTCTTGGGAGGCATCGTGAAATAAATATTTTCACGTTAAGTGTAAAAAGCAGTTAACTCACAAGAGCACAAACATGTACATCAAAGAACACTGAGTGATCAGACGAGAGGATTCCCCGAGTCAAGCTGGATCGGGAAATGGCGCCATGCATACCAACAGCCGGGACTATTGCTCGTATTTAGAGACAAAGTTTTCACTCGTACTTTCCTCATATCTCGAATTTCTCATATATAGAGGTGCTCGTATCTCGAGGTTCAAATGTATGAAGAATATTTCTGCTAGAATTTGCCATAAATCCTGTCTATATACTTGCTGTAATATATGCTGATGTTCAAACTTAAGAAAATTTTCATATTTGGTTAATTATCTCAATGTGAGAATTCACATTTATTGATTATGACCCAAATGTGAATTTCAACATCATTTGGATGGACAGACTTTTATGAAATTTGATCTGATAAAAAATATGCCATACCATGATTACATGCATATGCATGATTGTGCATAAGCGTTTTTGGCATAGGAAGACCCAAATTGGTGGTTGCAAGATTGAGCAAAGATTGTAAGCAAAAATGAGAAGGAGAACATGTCATTGTACAAAACATCTTGAGAGAAAAGAAAGCAAGGAAAAAACATCAGAGCTCTAAAACATTGTGGTAGAAAATAAAGTAATACAAAACTTTGTACATTAAAACATAGTCATAAAGCATACATAAAAATACTTTGTACATAAAAAATTAAAACATAGTCATAAAAACATGGTACTCTTCTATTATGAGGACCAAATTCAAAAATTTGTGTATGTATGCATGTATGCATGCATGGATGGATGGATGGGTTCATGTATGCATGCATATATAGGTATGTATGTGTATGCATATACGAACACACACATGCATATACAAACATGGCTGAACGGCTGGTAGGTTTTTCATGATCTGCCATTGTTAGTATTTATGCAATATGGATAGATAACTCTGAAACCAGCAGGTGTTTGATGTCAAGGCATCATCAAAGGAAAAGGATGCCAGAGACTGGCCTGCTTAGTACAACAAAATTGGCATCAGGCAGTGGCTCAGCTGACAGCCCAATATAATATAATGCAGGCCCAAGTGCAAGTATTTTGGAACATGCACTTCAGTGAATGCTGTTGGATATAGGATGGCACAATAAACATCCCACATGTGTGCCTTTGTTGAATAAGCGTCCTTGTCAACACCACCTATAAATGGGCTCAGGAACCGCAAGACTAGACCATGGATAAGCGGAAGACAGTTGCCTGGTCATGATTTCTCATTCGTCGTGTCGGTGGTCATGTCAGGGTACACCAAGCAAACAGAAACAGTTGCTCCCCCCTTGTACAGCAGGTCATACACAGGCAAGCAGTGACAGTATTATGCTTTGAAGGACATTCCTATGGGTGGCTTTAGGATACTTATTAGTGATAGAACAGACCATGAAAGCTGCGGACTATCTGAATATAACTGCAGATCAGTTGCGTCCTTACATAACATCTGTCTTCCCAACTAGAAATGGAATCTTCCAACAGGACAACATCCCATGTTACAAGGCTCGAATTGTGTTGGAATGGTTCGAGGAGCATAAGGAGGAATTCCAATTAATGTCCTGGTCACGTTAACTCTCTGGATCTTATCCTGATACAGCACATTTGGGGTGTCATGAAGCAGCAGCTCAGAGCTCAAACACTACCATGTCGAAATATCTCAACTTTGCATGACTGCTGCTTAGACATTTGGTACAGCCTTCTCCAGTCATCTATCAATAACTTGTGGCATCCATGCCAAGGCGAATTGCAGCTGTTTTGCAGGCCAAAGGTTGCACAATGTGTTATTGAGTACCCGGTCATAATGTTTTGGCTCTTCAGTGTATATGCAGATGCTAGAGTACTCTCATGCAAGGTCTGATTTTCGTTTGTGTTGCTGATTAATCTATTAAATAGGAGATAAAATAAATCTTGAGAACTTTTTGAAGTAGGAATTTTGCATAATGGTGCCCATATTTTATGAAAAACACTGATTTGTTATGAAGCGGCTTGCACATTTATGAGTAACTGGATCAGCATAAAGATGCTTGTTTCCGTATAAAAAATGGATTGGCATATAGGTGCCCACACTTTTATAAAAGACATATTGGCGTAAGGGTGCTAAAGTTTTCATTTCATGGAGTGAAAAGGATACATATATTTTTTTTCCTCCTAAAGTAATCTCTCTTTTTTGGACCTGGAAAGAATATAGACAGTGAGTCGTAATAAAACATCTTATACTTAATCTTCAATATTCCATCAAATCTTCAATTTTTATATGTTCTGTCTTAATTGTTTAAATATCCCATCCGATTCTCTTTCAGCTGTCAATGCACATGTGGATTTCAAGTATAAAATAGCATTTTTACTGTTAATAATGGATTATTTCACCTTTCCACTATAAAATGTTTTCTTTTATAATGTCTTCCAAATTGTTTAGAGCTGTAACCTACAAGCTGTTTAGAAAGGAGATAATTGTGCTGTAGATATTCGTTAGGGAAAAAATTCTTGAAAAAGAATGTCATAAAAGATTGATTGTAAATAAATATGAATAACTGTCAGTAATTATTCAAGTTAATTTAAAAGCTTCTAATTGTGTAGATCTTAAATCAACACCCTTCAGACCCTATTAGATTAACAAAAAGTTATTGTTCTAGTCTGCAACAATATGACAGAGTCCTGCAAAGGTTAAAATAACCTTTTTAGGTACTTTTCCGTTTCGCCGGTGCAAATCTTGTCAAGCAGACTTTATTGGCGACAACACACAGTATACACATAAAAAATGTTGACAAATGTTAGTTCTAAGAATTTTTTTATTTTGAAGGTATAAACATTTTAATATTGCTTAAAATTTTGTAAAGAATCCAATAAATAAAGACAATAAATTTGTAAAAAGACATTAAGAATTTACTATGCTTTTTTGGTACAACATCCTGATTCGCTGGTTTATATAATGTCACCCCAAGTGATCTCATCTCACGTAAACTACGCTACAAAAATCTAATTCAGTAATTATCTACATTAATTTCAAGTTAAATCTTAATTTGGAATATAAGTTTAAATACAAGAATTATTTCAATTCATACAAATAGCTTACTCAGAAATTATGTAAAATCACAGTGCTTTACTTCGCTAGTGCATTCTCATTAGAACTGATGAACCCTTGATAGTCCTTGTAGTAATTAACCCTTGATAGTCTATATTTTTGACATCAGATGAGCAGTGTGATTGCATCCTAATTGACTTTATTACCACCCGCAAATGACCTTAGGGCATAAAATTGAACTATCTGGTAAAAAATATATGTAATTGTATGCCAGTATTGAAAGAAACAATCAATCTGATAAGAAATGGCTGTGACTTGTTTTGAAAATGAGGAGTAAAAGGTTACCAGTGAGGATATTCTCTTTGGCATCAGTTGTACCATTAATTGCGACTTTATCGCCTACGCCGGCAAAATGGAAAAGTACCCCTTTTTATTAAATCCTTAAATTTAACAGAAGGCACTAGTTGCACATACAAAATGAAACTTCACTACTTGTGGATATTTAAAATAATATAAATTCAAATAGCCTAGTTAGAAACTGCATAAAGTTGCCTACTTAAGCTGTCTCTAATGGCTGTTTCTAATATGAGGTAGCAAAATGGCTAAAGCCGGAATAATTACTAGCAAAGCTGGGGATAGGACATAAATTGTGAGTGAGGCTGCCAAATGCTCCGACTTCAAAATATTAAAATCCCAGGCTTAAATATT